GCCCAAAGGTGAGCAACCTGAGCACATCAGGTGGGCTCAGAGATGGCGCATGAGCCCCACAGCCTGCAGAGCAAGCCTGGACTTGGGAACCTGCTCGCACCAGCCCGGGGGGACTTCAGAGACGTGGGTCCAGCCTCTCCTACTGTTGCAGGGCTGGGGCCCGGGAGCTGCAGATTCTGTCCCCGCAGCTGCCTTGGACATGCCAGATGGGCTGGGGCAAGACATACCCCTCTCTACGAAATGAGCAGTCAGTCCAAATAGATGCACTAATGAAGGGCTGTGGGATGGACCCAGCTGTAGCCCGGGCTACAGACAGGCTCCCAGGATACTCAAGCAGCTGGCCTCTGGGGTAGCAGCCCCGGGTGTGAGAGGCAGGACTCAGAATCTAGGCCAAGCCTCCACAGGAATCCCCTCTGGAGAGCCCGGGCACTCTGCAGGAGGGGCAGCAGGCAGCAGGTGCACCAGGAGCACGTTTCACAAGGTGCCCAATATTGCATCTGTTCAGATAGACAGCGAGTTGGAAAGTGGACGCAGTAGGCAGGGTGGCGGCTGCTCCCTACAGCCAGGAGTCCAGCCCAGCACCCACCTGAGTCCGCCTCAGTCCTGCTCAGTTGGGTCATCCGTGCTCTGGGCCCTCTGGTCCCACCCACAGAGGGAGGGCTTTGGGGCGACCAGGTGAGCTGGCCCTTGTGGGAGGATGTAACTGACTCCTGAGCCTGGCGAGCCAGGCAGCCCCTCGCCAGCATCCCTACCCCCACCTCTCCAGCCCCCTCATTCCCTGATCCTCCCATCCGCCCCCTGCCCCAGCAGTTTCCTCTACTCACGCTCATCTCTTTTCCTGCTCCCAGGCTCGCCTGGTCATGTGTCCTTCACTCTCCTCTGAGTCTCCCTCTTTCCAAGCCACCTCCACTCTACTTGACACATTCTCCATTAAGACACCAGAGTACACAAGCTCAAGTCCCTGCACCTCACCTTTACTCCCAGACATGGGAGGGAGATGACATGAAGAACCAAACGCCACTTGGCAAGGGCTCTGGGGTACACAGAGGGGCAGATCTGAGACTGTGCAAGCTCCAGGGGCTCCCTGCAGGAGGCTGCATTTAAGCTGGCTATTGAATGTGGCTCTGAGCTGACACCTCTCCTTGAAGCTCCAGACCAGGAGCCAGCTGCCAGCTGGACCCTCCATTTGGTGTCTCGGAGAAACCTTGCACTCTGTGGGTCTAACTCTGAACCCAGAACATCTCCCCATCTCAGTCCTGTCTCTTCTTAGGGAAAGCACCACCTCAGACCCAGTTTAGCACCAAACCCACATTTGAGTCAGGGGCTCCTGCCCCGCACTGTGAGCGCTCTGGATAAGCCAGTGCCGAGGGGGAAAGAGCTCTGAATGTCAAACCATGAGTTTCAACTCCACCTCCAGCTCTGAGAGCTGTGGGCAGGGAAGGGCGCTAGTCCAGTGTGCTGTAGAAAGACCAGTCTGCCACTGTATGCCACATGGATGGCGGGGGCAGAGTGCGGGTGGAGAGAACAGAAGGTGGACAGGGCGGGGGAGGCAGGGACATGGCTGTAGCCGTGGAGATGGGAGGACAGACAGGACTTGGTGGCCACTTGGATGAACCGATGGAGGAGTCTGGAAGAGACACCCAGTTTCATATCAGATGTGTAGAGCGTGGGATGCTGTTCACTGATCGAGGGAGGAGGAGGAGGAAGAGGTGTGGCATGGGAGGAGGTAACTGAGCTATTCATGAATGAATAACCATTCATGAATGTCATTTGAAGTCCCCAGGGAGAGCCAGAACCCCAGCGCCTTCACTGCTTCAGCCGGCCCTCAGGGTGCCTGTGCTCCCTGGCCCTCTCAGCTCCCGCTTCATAGCTGTCAGCTGCAGTAGGGGACAGTTGCACAAGGGCCCAGCATGTCTGTGTTCTTAGCCAGGGGACTGCCGTGTGGCCCATGCTGAGCAGAAGCTGATGGATGACCCTCTGAACAAAACCCATTACAACATCCTGATCCACCCAGCCACCAGCTCCTCACAGCTCATCTCCATCGAGACGGAGCTCTCCCTGGCCCAGTGCATCAGTTGGTAGGTGCAGAGGACACCTGTGGCTCAGGCTCAGGTGAAGAAGCAGCTCATGCCCAAGCCCCAGGCAATCAGTGTCCAGAGGAATGAAATGACTAGAGTTGACTTAGATTCACCAATGCATGGCGGGGAGGCTGGAGGAGGGTCCATGAGGTTTATAGGTTTCCAATATTTAATGAGTCCACGGTTTTGTTAACAAAAAAGAAGTGAGGGTGGGAGTGGGATCACCACTGGCTAGGCAGCCAATGGGCCTGCATAGACTCTGCTCCACTGAGTCTCCAGCACGACCATAAGCTTCTCCTCCTCATCCTCCCAGCCCGGCCCTACTCTCTCCCCCAGCTTGCTCAGCAGGTGACCTTACAGGCTCCCTACTTGTTGGGGGAAATAAGAACCAGACTGGGAGAACTGATGGGTACAGAGGCCCAGGTGTAGGGGCAGGACCCAGGGCAGTGCAGCCCCTACTGAGCCAGGTGGGTGAGGGTCTGGAGAGAGGGCATGGCTGCTGCAGGCATGGAAAGGAGGCACAGATGGCAGCACTCCCAGGGACCACCATCGGGGTCTCCATATGTGGATGAGTGCAGAGGTAGGTGCTGAGGGAGGAGGTGTAGGGAATTTCTCATCTTCTCTCCACTGCCTCTGAGTTGGAGATGTCAGAGGGAGCCATGGCCCACTGTAAACTAACACAGTGTCCCCACCCACAGTGTTATTACCCCTCCCCTGGAAGCGGCTCTGAGGGGAGCAGTCACATGTGGAGAGTGCAGGGCATTGTGTCCAGCCAGGGGAAGGAGGTCACCAAGGGGGTTGACTCTCCTCTGGCCAGGTGGCTGCCTTCTGACACACCAGCCTCTCTCTCTAGCACGGTGGCCCCCACACACCCAGCCTGTCAAACCTACAGCCCTCAAGAAGGCTTTGGCCAAATGAATGAACAGCTGCGTCTCCCAGGAGGAAGCACAGCGGAAGGATGCGGAGGGCAGTAGAGTTGTGGATGCTCCCCCCGCCCCTCCACAGTCGGACCGGAAAGAAGGGGGCTTTCAGCCAGGCTCACCCAGGCTGGGGTCTGAGTGTCACTGTCCAGCTATTGGCCTCTTGCTTAACAGGTGAGCCCAGCTGCTCCGGTGCACCTGCCACCCTAGTGAGGGTGAACCAGCAGGCGAGTGACATGTCTGATAGTTTGGGGTTACAGGAAAGATTAGGTTCTAGCTGCTGGGCCAGGAAGGGGTGTTTATTTTTAGAGTTTATCTATTGACTTGATGAGGGAGGGTTATAGGTACAACCAGTTTAAAGATGGAAATTTTGAGAGAGCAGGCAGGGACTTAGTGCTGGGTAAGGCAAGCAGGCTTGTCAAAGCAGCTCCTCTGGGGAGGCCAGAATCCTGTACCAATGTCCTCAGCACATTCATCAGCTGCTGGGGGAGTGCTGGACAGGGTTAAAGCACAGGATAACCTTCTGGATGATAGGAATGTTCTATATCTTCAAAGGAGGTGGGATACATGGGTAATGCATTTGTTGAAATTCATCAAAATATATACCAGATCTGTGCATTTCACTGAATATAAATTATACCTCAAATTAAAAACATTTTTTAAAAGAGAGATGGGCCAGACGCAGTGGCTCACGCCTGTAATCCCAGCACTTTGGGAGGCCGAGGCGGGTAGATCACCTGAGTCAGGAGCTCGAGAGCAGCCTGGAAAACATGGTTAAATCCTGTCTCTATTAAAAATACAAAAATTAGCCAGGCATGGGGGCACAGGCCTGTAGTCCCAGCTGCTCAGGAGGCTGAGGCAGGAGAATTGCTTGAACCCAGTAGGCGGAGGTTACAGTGAGCAGAGATCACGCCACTGTACTGGAACCTGGGCAACAGAACGAGACTCCATCTCAAAAGAAAACAAAAAAACAGACAGATGAAGGTTCTCAACTTTCACTAAAGGCAGAGTAGCTTGTTATAGATTAGCCGCGCCACAAAAGCAGTTAGAGAAACTGGACAAAAATGTGCCCCCACCACCAAAAACAACTGTTTGAAGGTAATTGGAGACCTCAGTCAAAACTTGAGTGACCAGGCCTAGGAGGTGACCCTGACAGTCTGTAGTGCTTTTCCGACATTTGGTGATTGGTGAACAGTAGAGGGCTAAGAGGTTAAGAAACTGAGTCTGAAGTGGTGGTTAAGAGGCTGGAGAGCCTAGCTGAATGTGTGGCACTCACAGGGCTGAAATGACCTCATGAGAATTTGGGTCCCAATAAGGAGATGGGACCTTGGTGGGGACCCTGGAAGGGCCACCCCTAGGAGTCCAAATGAATAAAAAATAGACCAGCCGTCACAAAAACTAAAGCCTGCTTTGAACCAGCTTAGTGCCAAACTACACGAAGGTGATCTGCGCTTACTCCAATTGTGTGCCATAAAGTCAAAGTCAATACTCTCTGGAGGCAGATAAAAGTTTACTAGCAACGCCATAAGACAAGACAAGACTAAATGAGAAAGAACAAGAAAAAAACCAATAGAAACATACAAGAAAAAAACCAATAGGAACATACATGTAAGGAAGATAAGGAAGAAAGTTTTTTTTTTTTTTTGTTTTTGTTTTTTTTTTGAGACAGAGTCTCGCTCTGTCACCCAGGCTTGAGTGCAGTGGCACGATCTCAGCTCACTGCAACCTCTGCCTCCCGAGTTCGAGCGATTCTCCTGCCTCAGCCTCCCAAGTAGCTGGGATTACAGGCATGCGCCACCATGCCCGGCTAATTTTTGTATTGGCCAGGCTGATCTGGAACTCCTGACCTCAGGTGGTCCATTCACCTCAGTCTCCCAAATTGCTGGGATTACAGGCATGAACCACTGTGCCTGACCAATATTTTGCCACAATTTAAAATAAATAATTTTTTTTTTTTTTCAGGTTTGGGCTCAGACTGTATTCTAAACAGTCACATGGCAGCTGACTCTTCTCCAGGCCTTGCTGCCGGGTTTTACATGTTTATTGTTTTTGCCTTCTTGTCATGTGCTCGGTAGATGGCAGCTTCCAGGTGCTCCTAAGGGGCCAGAAAAGAGAGTGAGAAGGCACGGAGGCTGCCAGGTCATCCCCCTCGGGGCCTCACCCTCATCAACTCCCTCAACTGGGTCTCCTGCAACTACTGGGGGGCCATCTCGGCCACCGCTTTGCCCTGAGCTTCCTGCTGCTGCAGCTGGGCAGAGCCTCCTTCTCAGAGGCCAGCTGCTGATAGGCGGCCAGGTACTGCTGCAGGGGACCCAGGGAATGGTCTCGCTGCTGCTGCAGACTCTGAGCCTCTTGGCTCTTCAGCTCCACCTGCAGGATGGGCGTCAGGGTAGGCAGTGGCTGGCTTCCAGATTCTGGGCCCATAAACAGGGTGGCGAGGGCACAGTGGGTCTCTGTTATCTGTCCAGGCCCCTGGCCCCTGGCCCCTTCCTCCAGGCCTAAGTGACTGCCTCCCTTGCCTAGAGGCCCATGCCTCCCTCCCCAGCCTCAAATCTCACACCCTTCTTCCCACCATTGAAGCTGTACGCCACAGACTGGTGGAAAAGCAGAGGGAGCCAACCACCATCTGCTAAGTTGTGGTGAGGTCGCTCTGTATGATCTCCAGGGTTTGCACCCACCTCCGCCTGCTCCCCCAAAGCTCGGCCTTCCGCCCCAGCTCCCCCAGCCTCTCCTCCAGCTCCTGCAGCCTCACCTCCTGCTTCTGCATCTTCTCCTCCTGCTGCCACAGCCTCGTTTCCTGCTCCCGCATCTTCTCCTCCTGCCTCCGCATCTTCTCTTCCTGCTCACGTATCTTTTGCTCCTTCTCCCTTATCATCTCCTCCTGCTTCCACATCTTCTCCTCCTGCTCCCACATCTTCTTCTCCTGCTCCCGCATCATCTCCTCCTGCCTCCACATCTTCTCCTCCTGCTCCCCTAGCTTCTTCTCTTGCCTCCACATCTTTTCCTCCTGCTCCCACATCTTCTTCTCCTGCTCCCACAGCTTTTCTTCCTGCTCCCGCAGCATATCCTCCTTCTCCCCCAGCTTCTCCTCCTGCTCACACATCTTCTCCTCCTGCTCCCACAGCATATCCTCCTTCTTCCCCAGCTTCTCCTCCTGCTCACACATCTTCTCCTCCTGCTCCCGCATCACCTCATCCTGCTCCCGTATTATCTCCTTCTGCTCCCGTATCTTCTCCTCCTGCCTCCATATCTTCTCCTCCTGCTCCCGTAGCTTCTCCTCTTGCCTCCGCATCTTCTCCTCCTGCTCCTGCCTCTTCTTCTCCTGCTCCCATATATTCTCCTCCTGCTTGTGTATCTTATCCTCCTGCTCCCGTATCTTCTCCTCCTGATTGTGCATATTCTCCTTCTGCTCCTGTATCTTCTCCTCCTGCCTCCACATCTCCTGCTCCCGTATCTTCTCCTCCTGCTCCCATATCTTCTGTTCCTGCTCCTGTATCTTCTCCTCCTGCTCATGCATCTTCTCCTCCTGCCTCCAAATCTTCTCCGCCTGCTCCCACATCTTCTCTTCCTGCTCCCGCCTCTTGTCCTCCTTCTCCTGTGTCTTCTCCTCCTGCTCATGCATCTTCTCCTCCTGCCTCCAAATCTTCTCCTCCTGCTCCTGCCTCTTCTTCTCCTGCTCTTCTATCTTCTTCTTCTGCTCCTGTATCTTCTCCTCCTGCTCGTGCATCTTCTCCTCCTGCTCCCGTATCTTCTCCTCCTGCTTGTGTATCTTCTCCTCCTGCTCCCTTATCTTCTCCTCCTGCTCATGCATCTTCTCCTCCTGCTCCCTTATCTTCTCCTCCTGCTCATGCATCTTCTCCTCCTGCTCCCGTATCTTCTCCTCCTGCCTCCACATCTTCTCCTCCTGCTCCTGCCTCTTCTTCTCCTGCTCCCGTATCTTCTCCTCCTGCTTGTGCATCTTCTCCTCCTGCTCCCTTATGGTCTCCTCCTGCTCATGTATCTTCTCCTGCTCATGCATCTTCTCCTCCTGCTCCCGTATCTTCTCCTCCTGATTGTGCATCTTCTCCTCCTGCTCCCGTATCTTCTTCTCCTGCCTCCACATCTTCTTCTCCTGCTCTTGCCTCTTCTCTTCTGCTCTGGTATCTTCTCCTCCTGCTTGTGCATCTTCTTCTCCTGCTCCCTTATCTTCTCCTCCTGATCATGCATCTTCTCCTCCTGCTCCCGTATCTTCTCCTCCTGCTCATGCATCTTCTCCTCCTGCTCCCGTATCTCTCCTCCGCCTCCACATCTCTCTTCCTGCCCCGCCTCTTCTCTTCCTGCTCCCGTATCTTCTCCTCCTGCTCCTTTATCTTCTCCTCCTGCTTCCACATCTCCTTCTCCTGCTCTTGCCTCTTCTCCTCCTGCTCCCGTATCTTCTCTTCCTGCTCCTGTATCTTCTCTTCCTGCCTCCACATCTTCTCTTCCTGTTGCTGGTACAGGCGGTTCCACAACTTGTTCTCTTCCACCTGGGCTTGGAGCTTCGCGGACACACTCTGCAGCTCCTTACCCAGGTGGTCAGCGTCCTCCTGCAGCTGCTGCTGGAACAGTGAAAGTGTTGGTTGACCTCAGAAGAAAACAGACTCATGGGATAGTCATATAAATGTAATCTATCAAACAATGGTTTTCACCCATGATCCTTTAAAATATATATTTTTAAGCCCTAACTCTGAGATTCTGATCCCCAGCAGGGCCCCACTTTGTAGATTTTTAGCACACTCTAGAGGATTCTATGGTGGGACCAGAACAAGGACCCAAATTTTCTAGCTCTTGACTGGAGCCTCCCCATACCCTGCATGATCCCTAGACCATGTCCCAGCTGGACGGGATCCCACAACCCCCGGGGCTGTAGCTGCTTGCCTGTGGCAGCGGAGCTTGGCCTTCTCCAGCTTCCTTTCTAGCTCCTTTACATTGAGCTGGATTCAACTTTCTCAGAATTCACAAGTCGAAGTTTTTCTTGTAGTTCGGCATTTTTCTCCTTCAGCTCATCATCGGTTATGCTACAACCAGAGGCAGTAGATAAAGGAATGAACGAAGAACAGAAAGGACTGCTTTGGTGATCAACCCTCTACTTTCACCCCCACAACCACAGAACCATGGCATTGGATGGGACCCCAGGAATTTAAAGCCCCAGGTGGCAGGCCAGAGAGAAGACATGAGTTGCCTGAGGCTACCCCATGAGTCAGTGGCACAGCCGGCACTAGAGCTTCCCTGTGCACACATGAAAACCTATATGAGCCTCTCACCATGCTCACCTGTACCCCCACCTCCCGGCACACCCCCCACGCTAAGAGCCCCAAGACCTCCCATCCCACGATCCCCCATCCTACGTGTTCCTGTACAGTTCCAGACTCAGGGCATCCCTCTCCTTTGTTAACTCCTCGATGTACTGCAAATAGAGAAAGGTGAAGTCAGGATAGAGCAGGCAGAGGAGCGGCTGGCCGACCAGGAACAACAGCCACCGTGACCACTCCACACACCACTCCCCACACCCAGTCACACCTGACATGCTCTCAAGGCACTTCCAAGCCCAGGGTCTCCTTTGGTTTTCTTTTTTGTTTTGTTTTGTTTCTTTCTTTCTTACTTTTTCTTTTTCTTCAGGCAGAGTTTGACTCTTGTTGCCCTGACTGGAGTGCAATGGCGCAATCTCAGCTCACCACAACCTCCGCCTCCCGGGTTCAAGCAATTCTCCTGCCTCAGCCTCCCGATTAGCTGGGATTATAGGCATGTGCCACCACACTCGGCTAACTTTGTATTTTTAGTAGAGATGGGGTTTCTCCATGTCCGTCAGTGTAGTCTTGAACTCCCAACCTCAGGTGATCCGCCAGCCTCGGCCTCCCAAAGTGCTGGCATTACAGGCATGAGCCAGAGCACCTGGCCCTCATTTGTCTTTCAAAGAACTCAGTACTTTGGGAGGCCGAGGCGGGCGGATCACAAGGTCAGGAGATCGAGACCACGGTGAAACCCCGTCTCTACTAAAAATACAAAAAATTAGCCGGGCGCGGTGGCGGGCGCCTGTAGTCCCAGCTACTCAGGAGGCTGAGGCAGGAGAATGGCATAAACCCAGGAGGCGGAGCTTGCAGTGAGCCGAGATCGCGCCACTGCACTCCAGCCTGGGCGACGGAGCGAGACTCCGTCTCAAAAAAAAAAAAAAGAACTCAGTAAAGGTGGAAGGGACAGGGAAAGAGACTGAATTCATAGCTGGCTAGCAGGGGCCCAGAGACATCAGATGGTATTGCTATTGTTCTTACTGTTACTACTACCACTGTTGGAACCTTTACTGACTGCTTCACCAGGCACTGCACTAACAATCCCATTTCATCCTCACAACCTCCATAGGAGACGGTTACCATTATTACCTCTATTGTATAGATGAAAAACATGGGGTATTAAGGGTTAAGTGCTTGCCTAAGATCACGTAGAGCTGGGATTTCAACACCCAGGTATATCTGATTCTCTAAGCCCATTCTTTCACTGGGGGTAGGGGCAAAGATAAGAAGGAGGAAATTAATCATTTGTTCACATTTTGAAAGGATGATACATTCGAATCGTCCAAAACTCAGAAAGTACAGAAGGGAAACATCTCCCCCCAACACTTCCTCTCTCCTGAGATGTTTATGAATCCTTACAAACATGTTTATTGTATATTCCCATAATACATACACACACACACACACAGGCTTCCTCTCTCAACACAAATAATAACATACTCAAGCTACTCTTCTGTACCTTTATAGTACAAGTATCCTAACCGCCACTTGGGACTTGGCCAAGTCCACAGTCAAATATGGGCAGGGCGGGCACTTGGCCTGTGAGCTCTATGTCCACTGCTCACTCCCCACGGCGCCCCCCAACTCACCCACAGCAGCCGACTCAGCCCCTGTCAGCCTCTAACCACTACACACAAAAGCAGCAAGCAATGGCCATGCTGTCTTCTGGGCAGGACACTCCATCCTGCAGAAGGGACTTTTAGGCTCACTCCTCCATCTGTGAAGCCGGGTTCCCAGGGGACGGGGCAGGTGGTTGGACTCACCCTGTCAGCCTTCTTCTTCTGTGTAGCAACAGCAGAGAGATCCCACTCTAAATGTCTTGCAAAATTCCATGAATCATGCAGGCGGCCGACCAGATGCCTGCACTCTCCTGGAATGAGAGACATTCAGATGTGGCCCAAAAGATTCCCCCTAAAGGCCTGTCAAAGTGCCAGGTTGAAGGATGACCGGGTGCCAGATTCCCACCTTCCAACTGCTGGACAGCATGCTGGCTGTAATAGAGTGCCGTCTGAAGCTCAGTTTTCTCACATGTAAGGATTCGTATGGTATGAACCTGGGCCTTTGGGAGAAAAGACAAGCAAGTGCTGAAAGAGAAGCAAAGAAACCTCCAGAGGACAGGAGGGAACTTCACACCTTCCACTCACCTCTAGCTCCCTCCTTAGGGCTTCCTGATGTTGGTGGCTTGCCTTCTTTTCCTATAGAAAGAGGAAGACAGAGCTCTTACTAGGGGGAGGCAGAGATGGCACAGCAAGAGACATGCCCCCAGAAGGGCACCACTGCCCCAGGACAGGCCCACCCATGGGACCAGGTTATCAGGGACCCTGTGTGGACGGGGTGGGATCCGGGGGGTGAGCCTTCTTCCCCAGGCTGGGAGTGGGCAAGAGGAGACTGGGGCCTCTACGGCTGAGTGTCCTCCAAACCCAGCAGTCATGTGAGCAAACAAAGAAATCACGTTACTTCTTCTAGCTGGGCTCGGTTCTGTTGTTTCTGTGGGGAGAGTCAAAGGAAGGTGACTGAGGGTGGCCCCTTCAACTCTATTCCCCAGGCCAGGAAGCAGTAGGCAGGGGCCAGGGATGGATTTTAAAGGTAGTTCTCAGACCCAATGGGAACACAAACTGGTAAACTCTCCTCAACTCCCAAAGTAAAAGGACTTGAGTCTTTATTGGTTTTTGCCCACAGCCACAGAACTCAAAGTCTGAAACTAGATTCTCTCAAAAAGACAGTCAGAGAAACCTTCAGAGATGGAGTGTGAGAAGAGCCCACGCTTCTGCCAGCCTGTGATTTAGAAAGGTGCATTCATTCAACAAACATTAACTGAGCACATACGGGCCAGGGACGGTTCTTCACAGCGCAGATATAGGACGGAAAAGGCAGATAGGAACCCTCGGTCCCGAGGTTTCCATTCTAGTGGGCCTTTAACTCTCGGACTCTCAGAGCTAACAGACACCTCTGATATTCTCTAACTCTACCTCAGGAAACGCAAGCCCGAGAAGGAGAGTTTACAGCAGGCCGTGGACTAGGGATTAACATAAAAACAACAATGATAAATCTCATTAAAACTTCACCAATGTAGGTAAAACCAAACCACTCCTATTTTACAGATGTGAAAAGAGAGGCCCAAAGAGCTCAAGGAATTTGCCCTCTATCATATCCCCAGCAGATGGAGAGGATTCAAACCCAGAATTCTTAAGCAGTGCCTGGGAGTTCTTCCACAATCTTAACAGTTACCCTCCACCACCCCTTGGGCCCTCTGTCCCCAGGAGCCTGGCCAGCCAAGACTCACATCCTCAGGTGAGTGGCAACCACCAGAAGTGGTTGTGTCAGGGTTAGCACCATTATTTATGTTCTTCTTTTTGGTGTCGCTTGCTCCTGTACCAACACTAGGGTTGGCCTGGGGATGGTAGTCTCTCAACTGTGGAAAGGAAGAGCAGTGATACTCATGAGAACTAGAAACTCCTACAGTCACATCCTGCTTTACAGTTTCTACAAAATACTCTTATGCACCATCTGATTTAATGCCACCAACAACTGTAGGAAGTGTTGTCACAATCACTTAGTGACTGAGAGGGATTGATACCATGGCTGAATAGAAGGCACTAATGGAACTGAAACTCAGTCTTCTGACTCTGAGCTCTGGGATTTTGCCAGAAGTCAGCAGCTACCAGGGACCAAAAGCAGAGGCAAAGGCAGAAAAGCAAATATTACGTAGGCAGGCACTGTACACCGTGTGGTTTAGAGTCATACACCCTCACACGTCTGTTAGTGTGAAGAAGTGCACCACTACCTCTCAAACTTTTATATTAATGTATGCTCATGGCAGAAGGCAGCCTTTCTGTGAAATCTGGGAACTTAACAGAAAGAGGACAACCCAACCCTCATTTCAGAGAGAAGTCTTGTATATTCTTATAAATGTATGTGACAGTCACCCCAAGTACATTAATGTTTTGTCGCTCAGTAGACTCAAAGGAAACTGATGCTTCAGAAAGATGCCCCATATTTATCCTGTGGCACTCAAAGTACCCCAGGTGGAGATGAGATGAGGAAGATTCAAGCTGTCAAGTTCAGTTTCCCAAGATCTGTTCCACAGAAGATAGGCAGATCTCACTCCAGCAACCACTGACTGAGGGGCACTCTGGTCCCAGAACAATGCAGAATTCAAGTCTGAGGTGGAGAACTCAGAAACAATGTTCGAGTCTCTCTGGAGAGTAGAAGCCTGGGAGAAAATCAAACTAAACCCGTTCTCCCATTGCCACCCAGAACACCGTCAATGTGTTGAGCTCATGGGGGAGGTGTAGGCTTTTCACACTGTCAGCGTCTGTGTTAAGGAAGTAAGGCAGCCTGAAACCTCTCTCTCCTACGTCCCACAGTCCCCAATCTCCTTCCAGCTGGAAACCTGTGCTACAACCAGAGGAACCAGAAATGGGCAAGAACACTTAGGGGACTGGGTCCTAAGACCAAAGACCGGTCTCGTGGCAGTAATGACAGTTCCTAGAGGGACTGCGACATCACTACATTCCACTCCTCGGTGGAGGGGTGGGGGGGACACAGGAGTGCAATGCCCAAGTTGCCGCTTTGAGATTGGGGAGTGGGGGGTCACAGGATTGGGACCCAGGTCCTTGGAGATGCAAGCCCAAAGAGCCCAGGGAGGTCAGGCTTAGGGTGGCGGGAGGTGAGGGCCGAGTATGGAGCGGGGAGCCCCAGGAGTCACCTGTCCAAAGTGACCAGGGGACAACTGGTGAGGGCAGGTTCTAGGGCACCCAGGTCTTTGGAGACGTGAGCCCAAAGAGCCCAAGAAGGTCGGGTTTGGGTAGCAGGAGGTGAGGGCAGAGTATGGAGTGGGAAGCCCTGGGAGTCACCAGCTCAAAGTCACCCTGGGTGAGGGCAGAGGCAGGACTCACGAGGGGGTTGGGCTGGCTCACAAGATTTTGGTGTGGGGAGCCCAGGGGCACTGGGGGGTTCCCAGCCTAGTGTGCCTCAGCAGTGGCACAGACTCTGGCAGCAGCTTGACTGTCAGAGGGCGCCTGGGGCTGGGTTGGGGTGCCACAACCTGGTGCGTTTTACCTTTTCCTTGGCCTTGGCCAATTTGATCGGTTGGGTCTCTTTGGACATCATGGGATGGGTAGGGCGGTGGGGTTGGGGCCACATCAGCACAATCCAGGCGAGGACAACTATACACCTCCAGTCACCTACCAGGTAGCTGTGTGACTGAGCCAGAGGAGGCGTAACCAGGGCCACACTAGAATGCAGAATGGGGCGTGGCCTTAATGCTTCAAGCCTATTGGTCAATGAGAAAGATGCAAGGGAAAGGAGGCGTGGCCAGACAGCAGCCTGTCCTGAAGAACCTGTGATGTCACAAGGAAAGCCGCCATGTAACCTCTGTCCCCGCCCACTCCAGGAGAGGGGCGGGGCTGGCTTTCACTTTAAAGACTTTAAAACTGGATTACCTCAATTGAGGTACAAATCCTATTAAAATGGAAATTTTATAGTGTGCTTGATGATTGATAAAGCAGACTATATTATCCAACATTCCACTAAGATAAATAATCACAATGATTTCTCTTTTTTGGAAAACCTTTCTCTTATTCTCCTACATTATTGTTAAGGGTTTTTTGTTTTTCTAAAAATACAAAACAAAACAACAAAAAAGAAAACAAGAAACATGTCTAATATCTTTAAAAACATAAAGCTTGTGAGCCAGGTGTGGTGGCTCACGCCTGCAATCCCAGCACTTTGGGATGCTGGGGTGGGTGGGTCACCTGAGTTCAGGAGTTCAAAATCAGCTTGGCTAACATGATGAAACCCTGTCTCTATTAAAAATACAAAACTAGCTGGGCATGGTGGCAGGTGTCTGTAATCCCAGCTACTTGGGAGGCTGAGGCAGGAGAATCCCTTGAACCTGGGAGGCAGAGGTTGCAGTGAGCCAAAATCATGCCACTACACTTCAGCCTGGGCTACAGAACAAGACTCTGTCTCTAAATACATACATACACATACACACACACACACACACGGACACACACACACATACACACACACACACACACACGCACACACACACACAGAAAGCTTTCCATTTAATAAGCACTCAAAGTTCTTTACAAGTTTAAAACAAATACAGGACCCTCTAAAGTAAGGCTAAATGCTAAGTGATGGGGGAGTGAAAAAGGACATAAATAACTCCTACTCTCATGAGGTTAATCACTAAATCCTATTTTTCTAGAATCACCTGGCCTCTCTAATCCCTGAAAATGAAACTGAATTTCTCACTTGTTACTTGGCTATGACTTGCAATCATGAAAACCAAGAGTTGTGTTCTGTCACTGTTTAGTGCTTGCTACCTGGGATCAAGGGTTGACTTTTTCATGATTTGCTCCATTATCTGTGTGCTTCTTACCCAGACCAAATTAAGCTTTTTTCTAAAGTTCTACAACTTACAGTTAGTACATAAGAGTGCTTCTCAAAAATATAGTCTCTGAACCAGGAGCACTTGGGAATGTCTTATAGATGTAAATTCTCAGGCCCCTCCCTAGACTTGATGAATCAGAAACTCTGGAGTAGGGACCAGCAATCCACGCTGCAATAAGCCCTCCAGGTGTTCAGGAACGGCTGGCATACAGCAGGTAGAAAAATGTGTTTCCTTCTTTAGGTCCAAAGCCAAGGATACTATATGTTCTCTCTCGATACGAAGCAATGACATGCAATTAAAAGACATAAATCTCCTTCCTACTTCCACCCTCCAGCCAATGTGTTTTATTTTTACAAGTTCAAAAGAAACCGAATAGCAATCAGAGATTCATCTAAAAAGTATGTTTACAAGTATCAGTTCTCATCCAGCCTGATCTCATCTAGTACTATTTATATCCTCTTATAAGTAATATTGTAGAAAAGGATCTTCACAATGTAAGACTCGGGCACACTAGAAGTTCTATGATAAAAGACCAACTAGATCTGAATGTCCAAACTTACTAGAGAAGAAAAGTGGAATCACTCGATCTCCTGACCTCGTCCTCTGCCCGCCTTGGCCTCCCAAAGTGCTGGGATTACAGGCATGAGCCACGGCGCGTGGCCTTATTTTGTTTCGAGGAGTGCCTTTTGGTAAGGGTGCCCAGGAGGAGGATGACTGTGGAGATGGGCAGGTGCCCTCCCTGCTGTGCAACTGGCTGACGTCCTGGCCCGGGGCTCTGCCCAGGACTGCCGTGTGCCCTTTTTGCAGTTCCCTTGGCAGTGGGTGAGCCCAGTTCTCTCCACCAGCTGAGGCCCAGGCTGCAGTGGTGCTGGCCAGAGAGAACGGAGTTAGCGGCCCAGGACCTGCGGCAATCCACAGCAGGAGTCAGAGCCTGACTTTCCCGTCTGGGGAGTGAGACGGTGGATCTCGTGGTTTTCAAGGATTCATCCAGCTCTGTTTTCCTGGGCCAAGGGTTTGTCCCAAGACCTGTGGCTGATGCCCTGGGCTCCAGCCTCTCTATCCAAGGGAGCAGGGCTGAGCAGAAGTCGGCCTCCACATGCCTGGCTTTTCATCCCCATCCTGAGCTGCCTGTCTCTGGCTTCCCCATCAGTGCTGGTGCCCCTTGAGGAGAAGCCTCCCAGAGGAAGAGTTGGCCAAAAGGGGTGTTTATGTGTGACTTGGAAGGCAGAAGGAAAGAGACAGCAGTTGCTGTCTGGAGGCGGCCGTGGCTGTCCAGCGTCACTGGCCAGGTCGAGGTCCATTCTGCCTGTACACAGCAAGTCCATCACTGTGACGCGGGTTTTGCAAAAGAAAAAAGATAGATTCACAAGACCGCCAAGTGAGGAGGTGGGAGAACAGCGCTGAAATCCTTATATCCCTGGAGATAAGGCTGAGGGCTGTTTCTAGGTTAGGGAAGTGTGATGGTCTAAAATGTGGGGGGAGGTGATTGGCAGTGGGGAAAAATGAAGTAACAGGTTCATTTTGTGCAAGTGTTATCAGGCAGCTGGCCGAACTCGGTGGCTCATGCCTGTAATCCCAACACTTTGGGAGGCAAAGGCGGGCAGATCACCTGAGATCAGGAGTGTGAGACCAGCCTGGCCAACATGGTGAAACCCCATCTCTATTAAAAATACAAAAATTAGGCTGGACACGATGGCTCATGCCTGTAATCCCAGCACTTTGGGAGGCCGAGGCAGGTGGATCAGGAGGTCAGGAGATCGAGACCATCCTGGCTAAAACAGTGAAACCCCATCTCTACTAAAAAAAAAAAAAAAAAAAAAAAATACAAAAAATTAGCCAGGCATGGTGGTGGGCACCTATAGTCCCAGCTACTCGGGAAGCTGAGGCGGGAGAATGGTGCGAACCCATGAGGCGGAGCTTGCAGTGAGCTGAGATCGCACCACTGCACTCCAGCCTGGGTGACAGAGCGAGACTCTGTCTCAGAAAAACAAAAAAAAAAATACAAAAATTAGCTGGGCGTGGTGGTGGGCAACTGTAATCCCAGCTACTTGGGAGGCTGAGGTGGGAGAAGTGCTTGAACTCAGGTGGCAGAGGTTGCAGTGAGCTGAGATCGCGCCACTGCACTCCAGCCTGGGCGACCAAGCCAGACTGTCCAAAAAAAACCAAAAAGCCTGGGTGCGGTGGCTCATGCCTGTAATCTCAGCATTTTGGGAGGCCGCGGCGGGCTGATCACCTGAGGTTGGGAGTTTGAGATCAGCCTGACCAACATGGAGAAACCCCATCCCTACTAAAAATACAAAATTAGCCAGGCGTGGTGGTGCATGACTGTAATCCCAGCTAGTTGGGAGGCTGAGGCAGGAGAATCGCTTGAACCCAGGAGGCGGAGGTTGCGGTGAGCTGAGTCACACCATTGCACTCCAGCCTGGGCAACAAGAGCCAAACTCCATCTCAAACAAACAACCAACCAACCGAACGAAAAACAAAACAAAAGAAAATACACAGTGTAACAAGTTATTATAAAGTCACTGCTCAGGGACCAGCTTGCCCGTCCTGTGCCTTTAGAGGGAAGCTCCCGCCCACTGTTCTTCAGTTTTATATCGTAAGTACAGGAGTCACCAAACTAGGCCTATGTACCACAGCTGGCACCCAGGCTTTATTTATTTATTTTTTGAGATGGAGTCTCTGTCCCCCAGGTTGCAGTGGAGTGGCACGATCTCTGCTCACTGCAACCTCCGCCTCCTGGGTTCAAGCAATTCTCCTGACTCAGCCTCCCAAGTAGCTGGGATTACAGGTGCATGCCACCACGCCTAGCTAATGTTTGTATTTTTGGTAGAGATGGGCGTTGGCCTCTCAAAGTGCTGGGATTACAGGCATGAGCCATGATGCCTGACCCAGCCTTTTTGAAAATGAAGGTTTTGGCCAGCACAGTGGCTCACGTCTGTAATCCCAGCACTTTGGGAGGCCAAGGCAGGCGGATAACCTGAGGTCAGGAGTTCGAACCCAGCCTGGCCAACAAGATGAAACCCCGTCTCTACCAAAAATACAAAAATTAGCCAGGAGTGATGGCATGCACATGTAATGCCAGCTACTTGGGAGCCTGAGGCAGGAGAATCACTTGAACCCAGGAGGCAGAGGTCGCAGTGAGCCGAGATCACACGATTGCACTCCATCCAGCCTTGGCAACAAGAGCGAAACTCCATCCCAAAAAAATAAAAAATAAAAAATGATGTCCTTTTTTGCATCTCAACCCTTTTTTATTTTTTTTATTTTGAGACAGGGTCTCACTCTGTTGCCCAGGTTGGAGTGCAGGAGCCTGATCTTAGCTCACTGCAGCCTCGACCTCCCCAGCTCACATGATCCTCCCCCCTCAGCCTTCCAAATAGCTGGGACCACAGGTGGGCACCACCATGCCCGCCTAATTTTTGTATTTTTTGTAGAAATGGGATTATGCCATGTTGCCCAGGCTGATCTTGACTTCAGGGCTCAAGTAATCTCTCTGCCTCCACCTCCCAAAGTGCTGGGATTACAGGCGTGAGCCACCATGCCCAGCCCTGCTTTAAATTAAAGTGTATTTCACTTGATATTAGTGCAGCCACTTTGGCGGTTTTTTGCTTACTATTTAAATGTTGTATCTTTGTATCCTTTTACTTTCAATCTGTTTATTTTAATTTAAAATGTTTATCTTGTAGATAGCACATTGATGGATCATATTTTCTTTTTTAATCCTTTCAGCCAGTCGGCTTTTCTTTTTTTGTGAGACAGAGTTTTGCTCGTCACCCAGGCTGGAGTGCAATGGTGCGATCTCAGCTCACTGCAACCTCTGCCTCCTGGGTTCAAGCGATTCTACAGCCTCAGCCTCCTGAGTAGTTGGGATTACAGGCGCCTCAAACCATGCCTGGCTAATTTTCGTATTTTTAATAGAGACGGGGGTTTCTTCATGTTGGTCAGGCTGGTCTTGAACTCCTGACCTCAGGTGATCCACCACCTCAGCCTCCCAAAGTGCTGAGATTACAGGCGTAAGCCACCGCACCCGGCCAAAGTGAATTTTTTTTTCTCAGAAAATCTATTCCATTCTTTTTCCAGAAACCAAGTTTGTACAACTAAAATAAATATTTATACTCTACTTTTTTTGTTCTGAGGTCTTACTGAGTTTTAATAGAATTTCATCTTTACATGTTTAGAAAAATTAGAAAATACAGATAAAACATAACTAAGTAAATAATAACATCTTTTCCTTCTGTTCAAAGTTCATTACTATTAGCCGAGTGCAGTGGCTCACACTTGTAATCCCAGCATTTTGGGAGACAGAGGCGACAGATCACTTGAGCCTAGGAGTTCGACACCAGCCTGGGCAACATGGCAAACCCCGGTCTCTACAAAAAATACAAAAATTAGCTAGGCGTGGTTGCTTGTGCCTGCAGTCCTAGCTACTGGCAAGGCTGAGGTTGAGAACCACGTGAACCCGGTAAGTCAAAGCTGCAGTGGTGCAGCCTCTGTCCCCCAGGCTGGAGTACAGTGGTGCAATCTCGGCTCACTGCAATCTCCGCCTCCTAGGTTCAAGCAATCCTCCTGCCTCAGCCTCCCAAGTAGCTGGGATTACAGGCGGGCACCACCACACCTGGCTAATTTTTGTATTTTTAGTAGAAAGGAGGTCTCACCATGTTGGCCAGGCTAATCTTGAACTCCTGACCTCAAATAATCCACCTGCCTCGGTCTCCCAAAGTGCTGGGATTACAGGCGTGACCACCATGCCCTTTTTCCTTCTTAGAGGCAGGATGTCACTCTGTCGCCCAGGCTGGAGTGCAGTGGCATGATCTCAGCTCACTGTAGCATTGACCTCCCAGGCTGAGGCGATTCTCCTGCCTCAGCCTCCCGAGCAGCTGGGATCACAGGTGTGCACTACCACACCTGGCTAATTGTTAACCTTTTTTTGGAGATGGGGTCTTGCTCTGTTGCCCAGTCTGGCAACATGGGATCCTCCAACTCCTGGCTTTGAGGGATCCTCCCACTTCGGCCTCCCAAAGCCCTGAAAATTACAGACATGAGCCACCATGCCCAGCCTATATTGTTGCATATTTCTTCCATTGTGTTTTGTGGTCGCTGGAGGTCTGTTTCTTCTTGGATTCCCTGCACAGTGTTCCACAGCTGCTCCACGTAATCTGCCCAAGACTTCTGCTGCATTCAGTTGAGCACACAGGAGGAAACTTCACTCCCCAGCCGACCACACAAAGATCCGTTCTCATCCCCAGGGCAGCTGCTCTGGCCACTCCACCCGCGCCCTGGATAGCTCCAGTTGCTGTGAGCGCGACCACCCGCCGCGTGATTAAGAGCGCTCCGGGCCGGGCAGTCTCCCGTGGGAGTGGGGGCGTGGGTGAGTGCGACGGAAATCCCGCCTTCCGGCGCCCGCGCTTGACCCTGGCCTCAGAAGGTGAGCTCCAAGTAGGAAGATGAGCGGGATTGCGGGAAGCGGGAGAGCCCGGAGGACTGCGAAGCGCTCGTCTTCACCATTGGCTGCGCCCGCGGAGCAGCCTCGTTGCGATTGGCCGTACGCGGGGGGGCGCGGGAGTCTCGCCTCGGCCCGCCGCTAGGGCAGTTAGAGGCGCGGGGATCCGGGGTGAGCCGGCGGCTGCTGGGAGGCAGTGTCCAGACGCCGGCGGGGCCAGGCGGCCCGGCTCTGCTTGTCCGGTCGTGGTCTGGGGCACCGGGGCGGCGGGAGGCGGAGGCGGTGCGGGCGCGGGGCTGGCGGGCGGCCGGGCCTGGGAGGCAGGGGTGGGCGCGGCGGCCGCACCGGGGCCTGCGCGGATAGCCGGCGGGGCAGTCTCGGGCCTCTCTCCATCTCTTAAGTGCTGGTGGCTGTGGGTTTTTCTGCAGGCGATCGTTTTGAGTAATTTGTTTCACGCACGCGCCGTGCTGTGGGGTAAATGCTGCTTTCATGTGTCCGTTAAAACGGTGGGTTTCCTGTCGTGTGTGTGTACCTTTTGCATTTGAGGGCAGATGACATTGTGACTTGGTCTCCTGTGACCGTCTGTTCTCAAGGTCTCGCCAGCGTGGTGCAGAAACCCGGCCCACCCTGCTTACCTTGGAAGGCGGCTTTCCCTTCCCCACCTCCCTTTCCCCTCCATCTCTTCCCTGTTTCCCTCTCTGCCCTCACTCCTGTCCCCCAGCTCTTCTCTCCCCTCTTGCTGTTCTCTCTTGCTTTCTCTTTTTTCTGCATTAAACATTTCGGGAGTGTCTTTGTAAATTATTAAAAAGCGTTAGGTCTTAAACATGTGTGTTTACTTGCAGGCCTGAGAACCGGGAGGACGCTGGAGAAAAGCTGCCCTCTGAATGTTTGTTTGGCTGCCCAGGCTCGCCTTTACTCCAAATGTTCCGTTGAAAACATATACACAGGTGGGGTTTGCCATGTCTTTTTCTTGGCGTGTTTCTGCTTCCATGTTTAAATTTCTCGTGTAAGGCTGTTTTTTTAGGGCATGTAAGGGGAAGTTAGTTGTATCTTCCTATGTTAGAGGAGCAGGTTTATTTCCTCCTATAACTTAAAATGTAGTAGTCTTGGCCGGGCGCGGGGGCTCACGCCTGTAATCCCAGCACTTTGGGAGGCCGAGGCGGGTGGATCACGAGGTGAGGAGATGGAGACCATCCTGGCTAACACGGTGAAACCCCGTCTCTACTAAAAATACAAAAAAATTAGCCGGGCGTGGTGGCAGGCGCCTGTAGTCCCAGCTACTCTCGAGGCGGAGGCAGGAGAATGGCGTGAACACGGGAGGCAGCGGAGCTTGCAGTGAGCCGAGATCTCACCACTGCACTCCAGCCTGGGCGACAGCGCGAGACTCCGTCTTAAAAAAAAAAAAAGGTAGCAGTCTTTATGGCTGTTTTTGTAGATTGTGCACGGCTGCCTTTTAATTAGTTTCTTGCAAGTGCACTACCCTTGAGATCTATTAATAGGCAAAATTTTTTTCCTATTTATTATTACTGGCTAAGAAATCTGCCACACTCCTCACCATATCATGATGACTGTTATTTGTTACTGATAGTATTTGAGCTGTTTAGTTAACTGTGGAGGGGAAAATTGGAGAAGTCAGTTGCAGTAATTATGGCCGAGAGAAACTCACTCATTTTATGAGGTCTTGTGTTTGTGTTTCTGGAGAGACAAGAGGGAGTTCAGTTGAGCTGTTTGTTTTGTATTTGTAACCAATACAAGGACTAAGGACAGTTGTGTTGAAACTGAGGTCATGATGTTAGGATCTTGAGGGCTGAAGGTTCCAAATCAATGGTGTGTATATAGAATTCTGTCTGACTTGAAATTTCCCCTTTCTGGACCTCCGGATGCTGAGGCTGACAGTGTCCATGTGACAGTGCCTTCCCTGACAGGAATCAGAAACCTTTTTTTTTTCTTTTTTTTTTTTTTGCACGTGTCAGTAATTCATTATATTTTTAAAACTTTTCACCTCTTCCTCCTAGTCCTCAAATACTGATTTGTTAATGAATTAAAATGTTTCCCAAAGTGTTTCCTGTGAAAGAACAGTTGCAAAAATACTGAAAGAAAAGTTAAGTACATGGAAAAATCCGAAATATATGTTTTATTCATTACATTTGATGAATTTTTTTGTTGTTGTTTTTTCCTCTTGAGAGGGCATCTTACTCTGTCGCTCAGGCTGAAGTGCAGTGGCTTGATCCTGGCTCACTGCAACCTCTGCCTCTTGGGTTCAAGCAGTTCTCTGCCTCAGCCTCCTGAGTAGCTGGGATTCCAGGTGTCCTCCACCTCGCCCAGCTAATTTTTTTTCTTTTTTTTGAGGTGGAGTCTCGCTCTGTCGCCCAGGCTGGAGTGCAGTGTCACCATCTCAGCTCACTGCAAGCTCCGCCTCCCGGGTTCACGCCATTCTCCTGCCTCAGCCCCCCAAGTAGCTGGGACTACAGGCGCCTGCCACCACACACGGCTAATTTTTTGTATTTTTAGTGGAGACGGGGTTTCACTGTGTTAGCCAAGATGGTCTCGACCTCCTGACCTTGTGATCCACCTGTGTTGGCCTCCCAAAGTGCTGGGATTACAGGTGTGAGCCACCGCGCCTGGCCCTAATTTTTGTATTTTTAGTAGAGACCGACTTTCACCATATTGGCCAGGCTGGTCTTGAACTCCCGATCTCATGATCCGCCCACCTCGGCCTCCCAAAGTGCTGGGATTACAGACGTGAGCTTCCACGCCCGGCCCATGTTTGATGATTTTTTTTTGTCCTTTGTTCTTGTAAAAATCATGGTTAGAAAGCAGAGTATAATTATTCTTTACATAGATCCCAAATGATTAGGGTTTGTAGGGAGTTTTTTTTGGCATTCAGTAAATGTTTTTATTTTTAGTGTGGAATGTTGTGTGTTTTTTATTATTAGAAATTATTTGTAGATTTATACATATCAAATTCCATTCTTTTTTGTTTGAGACAGAATCTCACTGTGTTGCCCAGGCTGGAATGCAGTGGTGCCATCTCAGCTCACTGCAACCTCTGCCTCCCGAGTACAAATGATTCTCTTGCCTCAGCCTCCCAAGTAGCTGGGACTATAGACGCCTGCCACCATGCCCGGCTAATTTTTGTATTTTTAGTAGAGATGGGGTTTCACTATGTTGGCCAGGCTGGTCTTGAACTCCTGACCTGGTGATCCACCCACCTTGGCCTCCCAAAGTGCTGGGATGACAGGTGTGAACCACCGTGCCTGGCCTCAAATTCCATTTTTCAGACTATGAATATTTTATTTTATTTTCTGAGACAGGGTCTTGCTCTGTTGCCCAGGCTGGAGTGCAGTGGTGCTGTCTTGGCTCACTGCAACCTCTGCCTCCCGAGTTCAAGGGATTCTGCCTCAACCTCCCAAGTAGCTGGGATTACAGGTGTCTGCTACCACACCTGGCTATTTTTTTTTTTTTTTTTTGAGATGGAGTCTTGCTCTGTCGCCCAGGCTGAAGTGCAGTGGTGTGATCTCGGCTCACTGCAACTTCTGCCTCCCGGGTTCAAGCAATTCTCCTGCCTCAGCCTCCCGAGTAGCTGGCATGACAGGTACCCGCCACCACTAACCTCCACCTCCCAGGTTCAAGCGATTCTCTGCCTCAGCCTCTTGAGTAGCTGGGATTACTTACAGGCGCACGCCAGCACTCCCGGCTAATTTTTGACTTTGTCATAGAGACAGGGTGTCACCATGTTGGTCAGGCTGGTCTTGAACTCCTGACCTCGTGATCCACCCACCTCGGCCTCCCAAAGTGCTGGGATTACAGGTGTGAGCCACATTTTTAGTAGAGACGAGGTATCACCATGTTGGCCAGGCTGGTTGCAAACTCCTGACCTCAAGTGATCCTCTCACCTCGGCCTCCCAGAGTGCTAGGATTACAGATATGAAGTACTGCATCCAGCCTAATTTTGTATTTTTAGTAGAGACGGGGTTTTGCCATGTTGGCCAGGCTGCTCTAGAACTCCTAGGTTCAAGTGATCCTCCTGCATTGACCTCTCAAAGTGCTGGGATTACACGCGTGACCACCACACCTGGCCAGTGGGAGGTCTTCCTTCCCTTCTCTCCAGCATTCTATAAGCAATGTTTTTGGGCAATGTGTGTTCAATTTTCTCTATATATACCTTGAACCCTACAGTAGTGAAAGGAAGAGTAGACAAATATTGAAGCTGATGTGATGTGGGCTTTGAGCTGGTGGTGCTAATTATTGTTTTCATGGCCTTCAATGCCTTCATCCTGCTTTTGCTGTTGTAAAGTGTTCTAATTTATGCTCCTGAGAATAACACTTGAGGTGTACTTGGGGTTCTTGTCTGCTTCCTGGTGACTGTCGAAGCTTTTCATCTTGAAGAAGGGAGATGACCAGTGTTCCAGTGTACTGAGTTTAAAGAATTTTGCATTTTTTTATTTGTAAAGTTTATAGCCAGATGTAGGATAGGGGTGACATGCTTTCTCTAAAGGGCCAAATAGTAAATATTTTAAGCCCTCAATGGACCATATAGTCTCTGTCATAGCCATGGGCCCTTGCAGCTGTAGTGCCAAAGCAGCCACAGATATACTATGTCTGTGGGCAGGGGAAGTTCATTCTGTAAACTTTATTTATGGACACCAAAAGATGAAGTTCACAGAATGTTTGCAAGTCACAAAATACTGTTTTTCTTTTTTTTTTTTTGAGACGGAGTCTCGCTCTGCCACCCAGGCTGGAGTGCAGTGGCCGGATCTCAGCTCACTGCAAGCTCCGCCTCCCGGGTTCACGCCATTCTCCTGCCTCAGCCTCCCAAGTAGCTGGGACTACAGGCGCCCGCCACCTCGCCCGGCTAGTTTTTTGTATTTTTTAGTAGAGACGGGGTTTCACCGTGTCAGCCAGGATGGTCTCGATCTCCTGACCTCGTGATCCTCCCGTCTCGGCCTCTCAAAGTGCTGGGATTACAGGCTTGAGCCACCGCGCTCGGCCACAAAATACTGTTTTTCTTTTGATTATTTTTGAATCATTAAAACATAAAATACGGTGGCCGGGCGTGGTAGGTCACACCTATAATCCCACCACTTTGGGAGGCCGAGGCAGGCGGATCACCTGAGAACAGAAGTTCGAGACCAGCCTGGCCAACATGGTGAAATCCTATCTCTACTAAAAACAAAAAATTAGCCAGGCATGGTGGTGCATGCCTGTAATCTCAGCTACTCGGAGGCTGAGGCATGAGAATCACTTGAACCTGGGAGAATCACTTGAACCTGGGAGGAGGAGGTTGTGGTGAGCCAAGACTGTGTCTCAAAAGAACAAAAGTAAAATACTTTCTTTCAGACCATACATGAAGAGGCTGTGGGCTGGGTTTGGCCCCTGAGCTGTGGTTAGTGACCACACACACACACACATACACACACACACTGTGGTTAGTGACCACACACACACACACACACACGTGGTTAGTGACCACACACACACACACACACACACACACACACACACACACAGGGCAGTCAGGCATTTAGAGCCAGCACCTGTGTTCTCAGCCGAGCTGTGTTCCTGGCTGGGTTCTACTTTCTTTTCCGGGCCCTGAGGTGTCTACCTTGGTAAACTGGAGACAGCAAAGCCTGCCTGCTTCCAGGTTGGTTGTGAAGATTGAAAAGGGTCATGTTTTCTTGTCAGGCCAGATGCTTTGTGTAGGACATGTTAGGTTTCACTTTTTTTTTCTTTTTTTTTTTTGAGATGGAGTCTTGTTCTGTTGCACAGGCTGGAGTGCATGGAGTATAGTGGGGAGATTCCAGCTCACTGTAACCTCCGCCTCCCGGGTTCAAGCAATTCTCCTGCCTCAGCCTCCTGAGTCGCTGGGATTTACAGGTGGCTGCCACCACGCCCGGCCAATTTTTATATTCTTAGCAGAGATGGGGTTTCACCAGGTTGGCCAGGC